GCAGCTTGTGTCTTCAGACCAGCTACAGATACTCATTCCCAATTAAAAACTTTTTCAATAACAGAAGACATAGAGAATTTAAAAGAGGTAAGAAAAATTATTAGCAGTAAGTGTTAAATAAGAGATTTTTGCTATAATGAAGACACAGTTGCTGATGCCCTCTTGTGGGAAACAAGGAAAAAACCAATCCTCTGACGTGGCCTAGAGCAGGAGACACGGGCTGTTTTCACATTGACCAGCTACTACCGATGCCTGATGTCGTGGGGAGGGAAAACCCAGGGTATTTTAGTCCAGTCGCACGTGGACAATAAGCCCCCGCCGCGTTGTGGCACTGAAAAAGGCGATTACATTGCAGGATATACGAGGCGAGGGGTGGTGAGAGATGGGGATTTACAAGGCCAGTGGCAAGAGCTCATCTGGAGTGCTGCCTGTGGCGGCTCGCCCACACGCCACGGACGGATTCATGGGACTCTTGCTTAGCCCAGTGAAACAATGGCAGAGAGGGGCTAGGACTGATTTCCACGTCAAAGGGATGGAAAAAGAATGTCTAAACAGACTGTGGATGTGTTTAAGCTGGAAATCAGCAGTTTTCCAACAGGGCGTTGGCCCCTGTGACTCCTACCTGGATTCCAGGCAGTGCCAGATCGATCTGTCCCCAGAGATGGTGACATGGACCGGGCTACAAAAATCCCAAGTTTTATGCCCCTTTGAGTTTGTGGAATGTCCTTGACTGAAGATGTTCTGTGCCAGTCATGCTGCATTTTCCTCATAGGTGGAAGAGGAACACTTTGGGTCATTTTTCCCCTTCTAAATTAAGATTTGTCAGTGCTTCAAAGCTGCGAGCAGCCCTGAAAGCTTTGAGAGCAAGTCTGGAGTGTTGCTGAAGTCGCTGTGGCCAGGCACAGGCAGAGGGGTCTGGGTGGGACTGCAGAACATCAGTATCCGGGATTTTAAAAGCACTCGCTAGATAATAAGCAAACATTCACGCATGTGAACAGTCCCACTAACCAAAGAATTACTCACATGCAGAAGTGTTTGCAGGATGAGGCCAAATAGCTTCACAAAACTTGTATTTAGTAGCCTCCTTGAGACTGAAAAGAAACAATGGTTCGGATTTCCCCAAATACAGAAAATTCACTTTAAGAGTTATTATAAAAATTGGAATTACACAAAAAGAATTCACACTCAGCCTTCAGTTAAAACTGTTTTCCCCAGCAAAATAAGGCTCACAGAACAATGAGGAACTTAATTATTTCCATCTAACATGTGGGACAGAAGAAATAGGGAGTAATCTACACATCCAATAGACCTGCTTACTCTGCAATTTCCTTACTCGACATTTATATATAGCAAAACACCCATTCAACTCTTGTAGCCAGTAAAGAACAAAGCAAACCGTTCCCTAACTGCTCTGCAGTGCTCAGGATTTGGCACAGGCAATAATTCTCGTTATTCCTCTGTTGCAATCAGCCAAATCCATTTTCTCAAGCTCTAACAGACCTGGAGCAGTCCCACAGCTGAGCTCAGCAGAGCTCTGCCGCTCACAGTGGAACCACCTGTATTTACATCAGTGAGAAATCTGCTTTGGTACCTTCACGGCAAAAATATCCTGGGGAGGAAGCAGTAGTTGGGTGTGTCTCGCTGTATTTCACCACTTTTCCTCTACTAAATGACCATCTGCCCTCTACTGGTAAGCAGTCTTAGCAACTTCTTTCAAGCCTTTCCCACTCAAGGTCACATAAAACCTTACCTGAGGTTGTTTTGGTGTTTGCTGAAGAGATGAGATTAGTGAGATTGAGAACTTCCCCTGGCGTAAGAATAAATGGTGGGGTGAGAGTCACAGTGTTGGTGATGGGATCTGTTCTCTCTGGATGAGTGTTTACTTGGTTCTGCATTGCTTCCTAGGAAAGAGAGGGGGGGTCAGACATACATTCGTCACGCTTTTTGTGGTATTCGGCATCCTTGAAACATTTATTTCTCTCTGCAGCATGTCAGGGACCCCAGCGCAAAAGCTGTGACAAAACTGCCACCTAAATTTGGCAACTTACGCTACAGCTGCACAAGATGCATGGCAATAAACCAAACCTCATCTACCGCCATATTTCGAGTTCTCTCTGCAAGTAGAAAATGATCCCACTGGACACACCGGGATCCCTCTCACTCTAGCGCAGATCCAGTTGCAGGTCAGAGAATTATCAATGAGTTTCTCCTTCCTAAACCTACCTGTAACATTACCAATGTCTCTGGATTGTTCTTGTCCAAAGCAATATCAAAAGCCGATTTATCAAACTTGCTGAAAGCATGGACATCAGCTCCGTATTTGATGAGCAGCTCTACGACGTCTCGGTGGTTGTGCTCTGTCGCCCAGTGCAAAGCCGTCATTTTCAGCATGTCCTTGGCATTTACATCGGCTCCGTTCTGAAAGAAACAAGCGTTACTTGTCTGCGTGTCATCTTCTCTCCACGTCTTGCTTGCCTCTGCTAGCAATTAAACAGGGAGATCAACACTTAACTCCAAGGGTGATTTAGACCAGCCTTAAAGCGATACCTAATTTACTTTGCTTACCCTAATTAGCAGTTCTACAATGTGTGTGTGTCCATCGGCTGCAGCCATGTGTAGTGGCGTCCGGTCCACTTTTGTTCGAGCATCTCTGCTAACACCAGCTCGAAGCAGCACTTCTGCTGTCGAATAGTGGCCGTACTGGGCAGCGAGGTGAAGCGGCGATGTCCCGAGCTGCATGTTAATTAAGAGAGTTAACTGTGGCAGTCATTTATCCCTGAGTGTCACTCTGCTTCTTTTCCAAACCATAGCAGAACAGTTCTGCCATTTCAGTACCACGACAGATAATTTCACCACTGTTCAGAAAAGGGCAGTATTACAATATTACCAGGCTCTGCTACCTCTCGATACAGTTAATTCCTTCATCTCACAAAGTTACCAATGAACAGCCTGGTAAGTTAGGAAACTAAGACAATCTGTGCTGGGAAATGGCTACCGAGGGCTTGTTTGTTATACTCTGGTTCCCTGTTATCCAACTGTTACTCTTTGTTTTCATTAAAGCTTTTATTTCCTTTCCAACCCCGGGTGCACTGGTTTGTTTTCAGGGTTTTGTTTTTTTAAGGAAACAAAAAAAAACACCAAAGATGAGTTTATCGACTGAGAAAGTTTAAACAATTAAATAAACTATTCTTAACAGAGCTTCCTATTACTGAGAGGTTTAACAGTTCTTCCAATTCGACTTGACTCATCATTTATCTCAGCTGTCGGGAACTGCACTTCTCTGAGCGTTAAACCCCGTATACATCGCTGTCTGGGACAGCACGGTACTTAGGATCGTGCTCTCGTGCATTAGGCAGACATCAATCTTTACACAAATGTCAATTCATCTTTGTCTGAGGAAGGCCTTGGTTTTTAAATCGCTTCATCTGGAATCTGCTCCGCCACAGAAATCCAGAGATGCGTTATCTGCCGATTCACGCTCTGGTTTCACTGCTCCGATTTCCATTTGTACCCTTTAGGTTCACCCTAAAGAGCGCACGACACAACCCATTTCACAGAAAACCAACGCCTATTCCCCCAACGCACCCAGTCAGTGGTGAAGGGAGCACCCCTTGCCATCAGCTTTCGCACTTCGTCATCTTCGCCCTTGCGAGCTGCTTCTAGCAACCTCTTCCCAAGGTCCACTAAGGACATCTTCACACATGGGAACGAGTATTTGCCAAGAGCTGCTTTAAAAGCAAGAAAAGCAAAACAAACAGACAAAAAGCAGTGAGGCAGAGACATTTTAAAAGTGCTTTACAACCAAGGCCCATCTGTCTGACTAGCAGACACACTGTCTTCCCGTACAGAACTAGGCCCAACACCATCAATAAACAGGCGTAAACATTTATCCTATTTTTTCAGTTCTGTGGCTTGAAACACCAAGGCTCAGCCTGCAACCAGGTCAGACACCAGAACTCCTGCAAAACCCCGCTTACCTCAACAGCGCCTTGCACGGACACAAAGACTCGCCCATGTGGATCCAGTTCCAGGAGCAGAACCTATAAAAGCAACGGCAAAGCCGTTCACATTCCTTGCACAACATCATTTTGATTTTTAAAGCGCTTTAAGAGCGTGATTTAATCTCCGAGACACTCTCCCTGACCCCAGCACTAGCAACTAAGCATGGAGGAACTACCCCTGTTCTCTGCTGGTAGAGGGTAAAACAAACCTTGGGAACTCCAGTGACTTGCTCAAGGTCATAAAAGGAGCAGAACCCAAAAGCTGTGCTCAACACACCGGACAACTGTGTCTCTGTTTATTCCAAGCTACATAAAGCATAGCATAATTACGGCAATAGTGAACTATAGCATTTTTCTCAACGACAGGGTTATGCTGGTATGCCAGTCCTATGAAAGACCGGCTTTAAAGTTTATCCATTAACTCATGCACGACGTTCAGAAAGCGGCTACAAATGAACATCTGTGCAAATGGGCAGCGTGCCGCTCAGCCTAACAGCGATTCCAACAGCACCAAGCCCCTCAACTGATTTTTCTCCCTTCAATCACAGTTCTATGAAATAGTTGGAAAGCTCTACTTCTTTCTTACTTCTTGTTCTTTCAAGAGAAACATCCCACCCTGTCCTCAGCGACCAACAGAACCAGCTATCAGTAGCACAAACCCTTCAAAAGTGAAGCCAAATGGCAAATCTCGCCCCTAAATCTCACCAGGATACACTGCCCGCATCACCTCCTGCCACAAACGCTGTACAAGACTGTTTTGCACTTGTAGCTTTTTCCGAGCATGCAGGTATCACACGCAACACCTGAGGCTCAGAAATCAAGAGCCCAGAGCAGTTACTCAGAGTTTACTCTGCAATTGGGACCTTTGGTGCATTCACGATGCACGTGTTTGACTACCACAAGCCCTCTGCACTTTAGGACTTTCCAGTTTGGGGTTTTTTTTTTTTCCCCTTTCTCACTTCTCATGGGACAGAGAGTATTTTTTAAATGTTCCTTCTTATCGCCCACGTTGAAAATACTTGCATGTTTTCTGAGCATGAGTAGTTGCACTAAACTCTGCGTTCACAAAGTTAACTACCAGCTTACGTATTGGCGAGACTGGAGTTTACCCCTCTGGGTGTGTTTGGAGAAGAAAGGAGAAGCTGGATTGTTAACAAAAAGCATCATTTTTTTTTCTCCTTGTATTAAACTGAACCTTTATCGCTTAGTGATTATTTGGAGGCCTCTCTCTGCATTCCTCTTCCCAGCTGGATGTTTTCAGGGAGCATTTAAGTTTGAGGCTCCCCATTTATTTTTTTTAAGTTATTTACAGTATTCGCAGCTTGGCTACTGTTGACAACTCCTCCACCTCCCCTTCGCTGCATTTCAGAAGTAAAAGAGCAGCTTCCCCTCCCCCTGCGCAGCCGGAGAGGGGGTCAGCTCCGCAGACCTGCCCCGCGAACCCCCAAAACTCCCGAGCCCCCCTCCCTGTTGGAGCCAGGAAGCCCTTTCCCCTCCCCTGGCTCAGGGTGTCCCCCCAGCTCCCCCCGAGAAGGGTCCGTCCTCTCACCGCTCCCCCGGGACAGGGACCCCCC